TCTGGAAAATAGAGAAAGTGCTGCACGAGCACTTAGTGTCGCTCACCCAAGATAACTAGACTTTGATGCTGTTCTGGGGTAAGATCTGACTAATAAGAGAGAGGCACTATAAACAAAGTAAAAAAAAGGATTCTTGGATCCTTGGAAAGGATGCCAAGTTTCCTGGCTGCGTTTTTGACCAGGCGTCTGTGTATATAGTGGTCGATTTGTTACTAAATGTATCGAAATAGAATATTCACTACTCAACGATTACTTGTATCCCACACATGATAGTAAAGTGTTTATCTACCTTTTCATGGCGTTTAAAAATAAGTAGCTAAAAATTAATATTAATTACGAACAAAGACGTACGTAGGATATGTGCAAAGGTAGTAAATTAACAGTTAAATAGTTAACTCTAAGTTCAAATGGCTATGTGGTATCATAACGTAATTACTTATCTTGTGCAATCAAATTATGCATGGCAGTTAAAATTTTATTATCGTATTTTAATGAGTACCTTATTCGACGTTCCAAAGATTCAGAGTTCGATTCCTAATTAGGTACCACATACGATAGTAGTCAGTAGCAGTAGCTTCTTGTTAAAGAGCTCGTCCAGGGAAGTACTGCCTACTTACCTATTTCTACCGCCAAGCAGTAATGGTCACAATACTGTGTTCCGGTTGTAAAGGGTAAGGGTGCTGGTGAAATTACAGGGACATGAGACTTATCAACTTATGTCTCAGGGTAACGGGAAATCAGAAATAATAATTGTAGAATCTTGACTCCGATTCTGCTATTTTTTTTAAAACCACTGCTCAAAGTAATTCCATTCAAATTCCTCTAAGATTATTTTTGCAATTATGACAATATTCTGCTAATAATATAATCTAGTTGCAATGGCAGTTGAGTCTTCAGACCAAAATCAAAATTAAAATAATTTTTATTTCATAGGTAAGCATTATTACACTCATCACATTGGTTAAACTCTACCGCTCATTCGTAACGCAGATTCCCCTGAGACGAATGAGCATATAAATAACATTTGTACACATTCAACATTTACAATATATTTTTTTTGGTTTCAAACATCAGAGATCGAGACTACCTCCATGAGCTAAACGGGTTACTACCACGGATGTTTGTCATCTAAGTACGCAGAAGTTGTATAATAACCTTTAGTATAAAGTTTTTATTTCACTACTAGGCTTAAACCTCATGAATGGGAAATTTTGTATATCAACCGGAATCTTGTTATAGAAGCATATATATGTACATTGCCCCTTAAATGATTTTTTGACTTTGTGAAGACGACTATCAAGAACAGCTAATTTATTTTTATTCCTCGTATTAATGTTATGTCTGTCACTATTTTTCCATAAAGAAATTACTATTCCTCTTCACGTAAATTACGTTTTCATAAATGTATTGTGACTTTTTCGGCTTCATAGAGTGACAGTGGAATGACTAGACTACGTCGTCGATGTGTCGTCGACTCGCTATTGAAGAACAGAAGCGAAAAATGTCAATGACAGTTGAATAGTAGCTCGACGGTTAACCATTGACAAGTCACTAGTCTTAACTATTTGTAGAATACAAAATGTACAAAATCCTGCCACTGTCACTCTATCGCAACGAGCATATAACCAGAAATAGAGACGAAATGTCATTTAATTTGTTTGAAAACTGTTCTGCCAAATCATTACGGTGACAATTGCGCTTCGATTGGCTAGCCCGAATTCGAAACAATTGACGGGTGTCGTTAATTGTTTCGCTTCCAATCGACCAGCTTAACTTGAGCTTTGCTATAATGGACGATAATTGAAAAATTACATATTTAATATTTATTTACCGATCGAATGTGTTTCCGTTTGTTTTGTAATTAGATGTTTTGCTGTTTTTCCTACACTACTGAATGGAACTGAGATAATATTATGTTTATTTCAATAAACACAGAATATTTTTGAAATATACGGAGACTACACACAGGTCAGTTGTTGGTGCTGTACTATTTCAGCTTTCTAATTAGTGATTTCAGCGCAAACGAGAGTTGATATTTAAAAGTGATATAAGGCCCATTTGCCTGATGAGTTGCCAGGGATGGATGGTCCTTATTTCGTCTCTATTTCTAGTTATATACTCGATGCTCCGTTTTTTTATGATATCCATTGACGTAATGACACGTCTGTCCATAACAGTTACAGTGAAACTCTGCCACTGCGTCCATCACTTTGAGACATAAGTTGATTATTTCTGCCGATAAGCAGTAATGCTTGGATTACTGCGTTCCGGTATCGAAGGTGAGTGCTGATGGAATTACAGGCGCATGGGACTTGTTAGTTTATGTCTCAGGGTGACGGACGCAGTGGCAAGACCCTTCACATCTTAACAATTCGTGACGACAGATACAGTCGTGCAGTTTAAAGTGTTGTGGCTTAACGATTAACTACCATTCACGACTTTTTTGACGTTACGACGACAGACTGTCAAGACAATGAGAACAGATAGAACGACTGTCGTCTGACGATGAATAAAACGTCACGATGAAATGTGACGACGGATAATAATCGCATTGTGCTCCCTCTCGGCCCCCGCGCCCTCGTCTATGTATCAAACGATTCTACGAGACAAGGCGGCTGCCGTGAACCGACTAATTGTCGTCAGGATCCAGTTAGCTGGACACGCCAGTCGTTCAACGATTATAATAAACGTCCACAACACAGTCACGACAGACAGTCGTGATATGGGAACAGGATAAAAGCGATAGTTGCCTAACGATAATTATAACGTTACGACATAATAGGAGCACGCCCTGTCAAGGCCCATGCACCTGTAATTTCACCAGCACGTCAAAAAGGTACGGTAGCAATATTTTCCTGGACGAACTCTTTCACTAGGATCTCTATTGCTATTAAAATAATATAAAAAATGATTTATTTATTTATTTTATTTTCAATAGGCACACCGACAGCATGTCTGTTAATACATTTAAAGAATTTAAGATTAAGAAGAACAAAAACTGATACACAAGCCAATTATAGGTGTACACAACATTCAAAACTAACTACTAGAGGCATTGACTTACAAATAAATGGACGACGGGTCTAATACACAAACCACGAAAAAATGTCCCAATTGGTATTTAAACGTAGTGACATGTAAAGGAATATGAAAAAGCTAAAACGTTGAATTTAAATTGTAATGTCATCGCAGTACTGTCTAATTTTGCTTCCTTCGCTGTCAGTCGAACAAACGAAGACTAAAGCGTGAATGACGCTCTGTATACGATTTTAACGCCCTATAAGTTCGGACCCTTTTTAGCGCGGACTCGACGTCCATATAATTGTAAGTCAATGACTATAGGCCGAATAAACTAATACATGAATATTAAGAGTAGTAACAATTAAAACAAATCAAAAAATTAAATAAAAAGAATTACAAGAATGGACAATCACATAATTAATTAATTGGGTAATGTGAATTACGGAAAAGATACGAGGAACTTGAATTATTGACTTCATCCTCAATGTCGTATTATTAAACACTACGTAAGCCTGCGTGATGTAAGATTAGTGTGACACAGAAGGTCGCGTAACTGGTTTTTAGATGCTCTTTTATTGTGTTAAATGTCACCGACGTTCTACAAATGTTTTTACACATTTCTAGTTAAATTTTAGTGGGGTTATAGGACTATAAGAGCTGTATATAACTATAACTCTCATTAATAGCAAAGTATTACAATATTATACGCGGAATAAAAAACATTGGAAGTGACTTAAGTCTCGATTACTATCAGAATCGCTGTCACCAAATCTCACACTATCATATAAAATCTTAATAATCATTGACTTACAAATAAATGGACGACGGGTCTAATACAAAAACCACGAAAAAAATGTCCCAAGTCAACCTATTTAAACGTAGTGACATGTAAAGGAATATGAAAAAGCTAAAACGTTGAATTTAAATTGTAATGTCATCGCAGTACTGTCTAATTTTGCTTGCTTCGCTGTCAGTCGAACAAACGAAGACTAAAGCGTGAATGACGCTCTGTATACGATTTTAACGCCCTATAAGTTCGGACACTTTTTAGCGCGGACCCGACGTCCATTATTGTAAGTTTATGTTAATAATGATTGATTGTAGTTTTTAATCAATTTATTTATTTATTATGTGTCCACATATAATATAAGTTCTGTACTAGATTGAAACCTACTTTTATATTTTATTTATTTATTTTTTTATAACATCAAGTGACAGGACGAACACGTCGTGCGCCTGATGGTAAGCTACACGCCTGTCCATAACGGTTACAGTGCCACTCAGAGCTTTAACTGGGGCACTACCACTGCGCCTGTCACCTTGAGATATAAGTTGACAAGTCCCATGTGCCTGTAATTTCACCAACACCCTTACCCTTCAAAACCGGAACGCAGTAATGCTGACATTACTACTTGGCGACAGGAATTGGTAAGATGGCAGTACTACCCTGGACGATCTCTTTCGGAAGGAGCATTAATGCTAGTTATGTTGACACATAATTATAAAGTAACAAGAAAGATCTACTGTTCACAATTTGCTAATAATTTTAAGTATTTTCACTTTAAATATTCTGGATCTTGAGTCAAAAATATCCAAACCGGAGTTTTTGGATAATTTTGTGAAGCCAACACATCCTTATCAGAGTGTTATAAAAAGAAAGAACTTTAAAAAGGTGTAAGAAATTCTGGATTGTTAATACAATTTAAACTTTACCCAGTTGATAATGTCATTTAAAGTTCAATATCATATGCATACAAGTAGCAGTAGAGCTTCATGTCAAATAGTTCGTCAAGGGAAGTGCTGCCACCTTAAACATTTCTGCCACACCCACTAACAATTATACTGTATTTATTGTTCTGTAATTTAAAAAGTTATTTAAACTACTTTCCTTCTGTGTCTCATGGCAGCGAGGATGCCTGTATGTTAAACTTTTTTGTGTAAGTTTTGCGTAAATGTTTTTTTTAATATTTTTTTTGTCTTCAGGTTCGGAATCGCAGATAGAGTGCACCCCCGAAGTGATGAAAGTGTCCGTGCCCATGGATGGTGACAGGAAGATGTCATATCTAGATCAGCTCAAAGGTGAGAAACAGCTACATTAATAGAAGTTGCTAAATACTCAAGTTTGTAGGCGTACCTATATAAAAAAAAAATACAAAATACACAACAATAGCCGAAAGGTCTAGCCAGCTCAGCTTAATGCTGGGCAGAACCACTGCGCTGATTTTCAGCAGGAGCCTGAGAGGAGGTAGATGGCTATACCTGTTTAACAAAACAGGGAGGGAGTTACACAGCTTCAGCCAAGTGAAATCTCCAAGTTGCTAAAGAAAGATTTATTTTCACCTTGTATGACGCCAACACAATTTCACCCTATATGCGGAAGGTCCGGGCAGTTGTTCCCAAGAAGGAACTCGACTCCCGGGGGCCTACCACAACCTTTCAAAAAAATTTTATTTCAATGTAAGCTTATAGTAAGGTTATTATAATATTACTTATATTCCTACCATGACAAACCTATCAACTAAGTATGTATTATTGCTAAAGCGACTGAAAGAACGAGTGATTTCCCAATATTGTCTATTCCTTACTAAAAATAATAATAATAATAAATTTATTTCCTTCACACACAATTTCAACCATAATTAAACATTCTTAAGTAATAAAACATTTGTTGTCTGTGAAGGCTGGAGCCTAAACTAGGATACCCTGTGCTATAGGTCTCCAGGCCTCCGCCTACGGATAAAGTATCAATAAAACATTGACTGCGTCACGAATAATTGCTGAGAGAAAGATACTCAAAATTTGGTTTATACAAATCAAAAAATTATAAATATAAATAAAATTCAAAACTAGAGGGCAAGTATTTTGTTGTGTGTGTGTGAGAGTGTGTGTGTGTGTGTGTGTGTGTGTGTGTGTGTGTGTGTGTGTGTGTG